TCCCCAGTTTAACAAGAAACTTGAATAACCCGTTGCTCCATCTCAACACTTAACATAATTTCGACAAGTCACTGGTGCGTAGACTAATTCAAACGACTGCTACAATCAAACTGAGCGACCCAATGGCTTGTCCAGCAAGCTTAGGGTGGGGAAAGTATCACCAGACACAGTTCTGTTCGAACTTGTCGCGACACGCTCGCAACGCGCTGGTAGTAGCATCAGTTCGGTTATTTAATAACCGCCCTCGTATGTGAGTATTGTAATTGATAAATAAAATATATCTCAATATTACTAACAAAAGGGAACCCTTGAGTTTTAAACGTTGGTTAATTTTAACGTTGTTTTTTTGTCATTTTATCAGCTTGTTGTATTGTATTTTTTTTTTTGAAAATTAAGATAATGAAATAATAAAAATTGTGATTGACAATGATGCAAAGGGCATATGGAAAGGGATCTCAAAGGGCAATGGTGATAATGTCCAATGAATAATCCGGAAAAATTAAGTCCGGAGTTAACCCAGATTTTAGGTGATTCACTTCAAAGTTCCAGCAGTAGGAATATCTTTCCTGTATCATTGTATTTTAACAGTTCATAAATTTAATTCATGTATTACCAGTGAATTGCTAATTTTTAGTAACCCACTACGTCTTTTATCTGTTTTATCGCATTACCGATATCCACATCCTTTTATGTTTAACACTGTGTTCCCTTCAAACGTGTGCATAATGATAAGGATACAATGAAAAAGCAGCATTTGTATGTAAATATATTTATTTCACTATAATATTATTATTATGTCACATGAGTAAATTTCAAGGCAAAACCGGTATTATTCCATGCATTCCAAGCTTGAAAATGATATAGTGTCGATATTGGTTGTATTACATTTTGTTGTGTTGTTAAGTTTACAAGATCAGGACGGTATTTTTTGTTTTATGTAGATATTAGAGAAACAGAAAGCTCGCTTAAAAAAATGTTTACAAGTTGGTGATATACGAGGTGTATAAATTAGGTAATGAGACTGGCAACGTAGCGCCCGATCTAGCAAGTCTGCGGAGACGGGACTTGGAAGGGCGGTAGGTTAACATGTAATGCACATTCAGTACAAGTTTGAACGTGTTAGAGTCATTTGTTTGTTCTTTGTGACTGTTTTCGTAAACCGGTTTTTTCTAGTACGTTTTAAAAATGTGACATTTTTAATTTAGGGCAACGATGTGCTATCAGGTCTTGCTTCAGACTTAGACACAGCGCAACGAATACTTTTGTAAAACTTGAACACGCCTACGGAGACAGTGTTTTTTCAAGAGCCCAGGTTTTTCGATGGTTTAAGGCATTCTCAGATGGAGATAGTCGATTGAAGATTAACCACGCAACGGAAGGCCTTCATCTTCAAGAAACAGTGAAAATGTCGATAGAATAAGGGATCTTGTGCTTTCCGATCGTCGGTTGACGACAAGAATGATCGTGGAAGAGTTAAATTTGAATCACACCACTGTTCACCAGAATTGGACTAAAGAATTGGTGATGAGAAAAATCTCCGCAAAAATGGTTCCAAAAAATCTTTCGCAGGAACAAAAGGACATCAGGAGAAAAAGGTGTCTTGACTTTTTTGGAATCGATTGGAAATGATCTCCATGTTCCATTTTATGGAATGTTTCATTACTGGTGATGAAACTTGGGTGTTTGAGTACGACCCGGAAACCAAGCGCGTTGGTATGAAATGGCACCAGTGGCGGATTTAGGTTTGCTGCCGCCCTAGGCCCCGTTTGATGTGCCGCCCTTTTTGATGAAATGAATTTCATATTAATTTTTATCCAATATTTTTATTTTAGTCTTTTTATTTTATTGAAATATAATTTTTAAATATAACTAATAAACATTACAGATGAATAAGTAATAAACTTTAGACAGATAAATAATAAATATTTTTTTTTAATATTAATCAATTTGAAAATTTTTTTTTCTGGCTTTGGTCCGCGCAAAACGTCGATTATATAGTCATAATCAATTTCTTGGACTAATTGAGCTTCAATAGACAGTAATGCAAGACCATTAAGTCTATATTGGCCTATACTTGCGAGTAAATAGGTTTTTACCCTTTTCAGAGTGGAAAAAGATCTTTATCCTGAACAATTTGTAGCCGGAAAACTCAAAAAAATACGTAGAGCAATGTCCACATTTGGATAAACATCTCGAAGACTCCATGAATGCAATACATTGCATATTTTTTGTGCAGAGCGTACATCTTCCGTATTTGCTAAGGAATCTTTGAGTTGACAATGTAAATGAATACATTCATTCCCTAATGTCTCTTCCTCCAAATCGTCAGGATACTTATTGACTAGTTTATTTGCAAGATTTTTCAATTCGTTCGTATATATTTCAGATAAATTATTGAAAAAATTGAAATTTTCGTAAAGCTTTTCATATGCACTTTTACGCCCGGCCAATTGTACACTCAGAGTGTCTAAAATAGCGTAATAAACATTTGTGCGAAAATTTTCTTGTCCAGAAAAAGGTGTTCTTTCTGTTTTTTTTTGCGACGAGGATCATAACTTTTTTCTTCATATTCAGAAAATTGTCTGTCTCTCAAGTCTTGAAGAAATAAAGCCAGAGAACTATAGATCTGCACAACGGATGATACATCAGCTTGAGATGCTTGAAGCTTCTTAGTAGCAGCATTAAAACGATCTAAAATTACGTTCCAAACAATGACTAGAATTACTGTTTCTAAATGCTGTAATTTTCGCTGCAATCGCATAACTTCAGATCGCGTAGTCGGTTTCTCATCTCTGCTTTTGGCAATGAATTCCAGTGCATCAATTATTGCAGACCACTCTTTTTCTAACGCGTAACATGCATCAACTCGAGCAGACCAACGAGTTTGAGAAAGACTCTTAACTCTTAAATTTGTACGCTGCACCAAAATTTCCCAACGATATGTAGATATAGTAAAGAAATTATATAATTCTTGCAAAGTAGAAAACAAGTCAACTGCTTCTGTTACGGATTCAACTGCACATGATCCTACTAAATTTAAAGAGTGGGCAGCACAAGGAACGTAATCTGCTAAAGGATTAATTGTTTTGATTCGTGTCTGAAGGCCTGCATATATGTATACCTGACATGTTGCTTGCATTATCATAAGATTGACCACGACAGTTCATTATGTCCAAACCATAATTTTCTAGAGATTTTAACAAATCATTCTCAAAATCTTTAGCTTTATGGTCGATATTTGGTAGAAACTCTAGAAACCTTTCAACAATTTCACCGTTATCACGTACATATCTAATACGTATAGTAAGGTGAGAAATTGAATATGAAAAAAGATGGGATTTATTTTTAATGAAAAATTATTTTTATAAACAAAAAATGTTCTGACTTTTGAATGAATACCAAAATGATATTTAATACATGCAAATCTACCATATTTCTATTTCACACTGAAAACAAATTGAGAAGTTATTCAGATTTAGTAATTTCAAAACGCCTTATACACGTAAGATTAATCTCACTAAGGGAACAAAAAGTAAAGATACAAAAAATAAAGAACATTACTCGATAAAGACAATCATTGATATATTAAAAAATTAACATCTTACCCACAGATTGAAAAGTAAATTAAAAAATTGAATTATAATATATTCTATAGAATTTTTTTTATAAAAACTAATCTGAACCAATTTTTAAAATGGATTGTCTTTACTTTTTTTCGCCTTTAAAATTTTGACATTTCAAAAATTTTGCCGCCCCTTAAATTATGCCGCCCTAGGCCCGGGCCTCACGTAAATCCATCACTTCAAGCTTTCCAAGACCCAAAAAAGCAAGAACGAACAAGTCGAAGAAATGCACGCCGATTTGCTTTTTTAAGAGCTAGGGAATTGTCCACAAAGAGTTTGTGCCTCCAGGCCAAATAGTAAATCAACACTTCTACAGAGAGGTTCTTGAAAAAGGGTCATGTGTATGAGACTAAACATCAAGAACAACTGGATGTTACATGACGACAATGCGCCTTGTCACACAGCCATTTTAGTAAACGAGTTTTTAGCTAGTAAAAACATTCCTGTGGCTCCTCAGCCTCCTTATTCGCATGACTTGAGTCCTTGTGACTTTTTTCTATTCCCGAAATTGAACAATCACCTCAAGGGATGTCATTTTGGGACCATAGAAAACATTCAAACAGCTGTAACCGACCAGCAGAAGGCTATTCCAGTATGAGTTCTAGCACTGCTATGAGGAATGGAAGAACCGTCTCCAGTGCTGTGTGGCTTCCCAAGGAGGTTATTTTGAAGGAAACAATACTGAATTGTAATTCTATTCTAATAATTTTTTTTAATTAGTCTCATTACTTAATTTACACACCTCCTATATATACTTGCATATTTGTTAGCATTGCACTGTGTCATTTATTTGAGGATGTAACTACATATTTAGTTGCATTTCCCAGGCTGTTTTTTTGCCCATGTGCGTTGGATTTTTAATAAAATTAACATTTTTTCTTAAGGTAAGTTTCAGACTAGACATTAATTGATTTTTCGTAGTGATGTAAATACTGGACATGGTTAAAATGTCGCTTTACTTTTACAAATGGGAAATCCAAGTACGTATAATATCAACGTCAAGCTGCCGTTACTTTTGAAATATGTTAACGTCCACTCAAGAAAACGGTGTCATTATTTCTTATTAACGTATTAACTGGTTTATAGCGGTGGTTTTAAGATCGTTCAAGATACGTATTACATGTGCACTTCATGAAAGTACATACATACATTATCGATATGTAGTCTTTAAATTTCTAAAAAAAAAACCTATGTATTTTTGTGAATTGGAAACAATATTAAATGTCATCATTACAAGACGCAGAAACTCTACATGTTTACTTTCGGTATGTTTAATATTAATACCAGAAAGAAACCATTTTTTTAGAAACTAATTGTTACTAATTGTTTATTAATTCAACTGTGGATATTATAAATCTGATACATATATACATAACCGCGGCGATAGCTCAGTGGGTAAAGCGCCAGGTGAGAAGATGGCGATTACTCCGAGAGCTATTATCCGGTCGGGTTCGAATCCCGCCTGTGGCAATTGGCACCTGTCACAGGGTTTGGTTGTGTGTCCTACGTCTTTTTCATGTGTATTCTCCTTTTGCACAGTTGTAATAACTCTTAGAGGGAGAATGTCAATTTCTGTGGTGTGATTTATTATTATTATTATTATTTTAAACAGTTACGAGGTGTGGCTATTAAATAACCGAACTGGTGTCATAAAACTTTTTATTCGTTACCAATTACAGTAGCAATTTTTTCACGTTCAATGTACTCCCCTTGGCGATGTCTACACTGAAAACAATGAAAACACTTTTCAACATGGAATACCATACGACTTTTCCATTGTTGAAAGCAGTGCTGGAAGTCCGTTTCTGTCAGCTGGTTCAGAACCTCCGTCGCTTTTGCTTTAACCGCTTCCACACTTTCGAATCTTGTCCCCTAAGTGTCCCGTGTCTAACAAGCTCATTTTTAGAACAGCAAACCTTTCTCTCTGTTTCCTTTCACAAACTTTCGCTTGAACATTCATACAAAATCTGGGCTTACCTGTTATCACACCCTCACTTACCTTGATTATTTACCAGTTTTATTTTTCGTCCATTTTGACTTTGGGCCGTCCGGTTTGTTTCCCTCTTTAACTCGTAAACCATTCAAAAACTTAGATCTCGTACACTTTTTAACGTAGTTGAAAAGTTTTCCCGTTCAACAAGAAACAAACCTTCCTCTGAACACAACATTTCACACTGGCTAACTAATTCAAACGACCTACAGTCAAACTGAGCGACCCTTGCTTTCCAAGTTTAGTGGGAAAATCACCAAACACAGAGCGACACTCTCTCCGTACATCCTTATTTATAACCTAGTATATACGGTTAATGAAAATATTAATTTTAATAAAATAAAAAAAAAAATTTAGTCAAAATTAATTTTAACTACCCGTTTTATTTAAATAATTCTATAACTTTTGCCGGTTTCAATTTCACATTGACGTTAACAGTGTTATCTGATAATCTCCCCTTTGAAATTCAGAATTGTTAAATATGGAAAAACTTACCACAAAACAAAATCAATATTCATTCCTGGAACACAGATATTTGCTATGTAAATATGACAGATGTTGCAGACAAATACACAGCCAATTATTGATGTAAGCGTACACTACCAGATTCGGAATTAAATACGTAATATGTTGTGATGGGTCGTTTGCTTTTACCAAAATTTTGAACAAAATCTTCACAGGAGAAAAGCAGCAACTTACATTTATTACAAAAGTGTTATTTATAAATTCGCGAGTATAAACCGCTCAAGTACATAACCGGGTGATATGTCCTTGAGGTATTAGCATTATTTATGTTAAATCTGTAGTATACAAATGCCTTCGAAATTTAATCACCTACTTAATCTCTAATGTGGCTCAATAATTGTGATTAATGGGTATTTCACATACAAAAATTAATGTATCCATAAAAGGAAACTGCTGAGAAATCATTTTTTCGGACGAAGCTCATTTTCATCTTGGAGGACATGTTAATAAACAGAACTGTAGGATTTGGGGTTCCGAAAATCCACACGTGGTCATAGAGAAGCCAATGCATCATGCAAGACTGACTGTTTGGTGTGGGTTTTGGAGCGGTGGCATCATTGGTCCGTACTTCCTTCAAAATGAAGATGGTAACAGCGTTACAGAGACATGTCAACTGATTTTTTGTGGCTGCAATTGGACGATTTGGACTTGGACGAGCTTTGGTTCCAGCAGGATGGAGCAACGTGTCACACAAGCCGTGAAACAATCGAATTTTTGCACACTAAATTCGGTAACCGTGTTATCAGCCGTATTGGAGACATTAATTGGCCATCGCTCAGCTGCGATTTAACACCGTTGGACTATTTTTTTATGTAGACATGTTAAGGACCGTTGTTACTCCAACGATCCACAAAAATTGACGCACTGAAGGAAAACGTCAATCGAGTTATTCGTGCAATAGGCCACAAATAATCGAAAATGTACTGCAAAATTGGGTGAAAAGAATGAACTGAAATTGTTGTTCATAAATAATGGGAACGCATACTTTCTTGAATAAAGCAACAATCATTTAAAAATCATTTAAAAATGTATGTAGTTTTAATAGCAATTTTAAAAAGAAATCATCTGTTGGCCCACCCTATATATCCAAAATTGTTAAATGGTCAAACTATCTATTATTAGTAGACCGGGGCACCTCACCTGCGCGGCATAGGCGTACCGTCGGAAATTTGCTGGTCAACTTATTCCAATAGACGTTTTTTTAGCCTTTCCAACGTTCCACATATTTAATTGTATATTTACTTGTTATAAACTATATAGTTGTAACTAATAAATATATAATTCAGCATGTGGAATGTGCGAAAGGCTAAAAACAACTATTAGAATAGGTTGATCGGTAAAATTCCTACGGTACGCCTTATGCCGCGCGGACAACTTTGCCTCGCTCTAATTATATTATTAGTGTCGTCTACAATAAAACAAATGACAAAGGTCTGTGCAAATTTCATTATTTACACTTGCACAACTAGTTTTCATATCCTTCAAGAAGTAATTTGAATTAAGGCGTCTTAATCGAATTAGGATGCACGGTCAGTCATTGTAAAGATCCGTTTTCGATTAAACTACGTTCGTTTCAGCTGCAGGTACACTTTGTTTTTAGTTGTCATTTTTAAATAACACGTTTCAGAGATTGTGTAAAAATTCCTGCTGTTCGACCACATCAATTTTTTTCAACAATGTTGCAGTCTCAGCAGTGGCGGCTCGTGACTTTTTTTTTTGGGGGGAAGCAAACAAATTTTATAAAAATGTTTGTTTCCTAAATTTTGGTAAACATTGTTAGTGATATACCGTATCTATAGGAGAATTGTCTAACATAATTTACCTAATATATTTTATTGATTCAGCAAAAGCATCGGGCATCTTTGGAGTTTCCGTCAAATTATTTTACAATTAATACGGATTTATGACAGGACTGCGTCAATTTCGATTTGACGGGCTGAATAGATCACATTCATATTTTGTTTGCCTAAAAAATGCAATTTACAAACACAACTAATATGTTCGTGTTTTTTTGAATGTGTCAATTGAACGAGATAATTTTTTTAAGATTTTCAAGTCCAGACTTTGTTCAAGCATCTTCTCCATGATTTGATATGAATAATACACAGGGCCAACACAATAATTTATTTAAAGTTAAAGAACCACTAAGCCATTTGCATTTATCATACCACGTATTAACAAAACTACGAGACGGCTTCCCTGATTAATTAAAGTGTTACTTAGATCTGGCCGGTGTACTCTTAAAACTTTACCAAATAATTTATCCTCATAAGACAGACGACTAACTTTGTACTTTATAAAATAGTCAACAATATCATTGCAGGTCCGAATATTCATTTGATTGTCATTACTCGTATTGTTATTATTATGAAACAAACTGCTACAATCGCTAGTTATCTCCCATTATATTTTGTATAATTAATTAAATAAAACGTACAAATAATTACTTATGTACGTATGTAATATGGTACACTTTCAATAATTATTATTACCCTCCTATACCAACTCAAAGCACTCAAAAAAACCGGCAAGAATAACGGCACTTTCCAACGAAAATTTCCAAAACAGGGAACAATAACAGATAAATATTAAATTTTGTAGGTTGGGTTGTTAGGTTCATGAAATCAAATAATTCGTTTTCTGCGCTGTCACGTGTGAGAGGTGGGAGGTGAGCGTGTTTGCCTCCGATATGCAGGTTTTTAATGACCTTCAATGCCACTGACGTTACGGGTTAAATTTACAAACAGACACAGATGGTTGCGAAGCCCGCTATCCCGTGTAAATACAAATGTGAAAACATTGGCATCGGAGGCTTGCCACCACTGTGATAGATTAGGCGCTTGGTCGTTTAGTAGGACTAATACGTTGCAAATCATAGTGCAGGAACTCCTTTCACATATTTCAAGTATTTAATAATTTTATTTTTAGAAATTAATTTTTTACCCGATATATGAATTTAAAGATGAAATGTTATAGATTAGAAAGTATTATAGATAGGTAGGTTTATAAAAAAAAACTTCTTTGGAATTTTCACAGAGGAGGCTCTGGCTCCCCTGACGAGCCGCCACTGAGTCTCAGGTAATTAGTTCCTCAGTTCACCTAAGTGAGTATGTTTCTTTGCATCTGTTCTAATGTGTGACCATACTGACTGTGTTTGCTTCATTACATCAGTTTCCGTTGCATCCTGATTAATATGTCTAAAAACTTCAGAAAGTGTTTAATTCCCTCTTTTATATTTATTTAAATATAATGTAGCGGAAGTATTTCACAGTTCTAGCAGAGATTCATATTACTGCATGTTACTTCATTCTTACTAACAAAAGTTTCATACAGTTGAGGAGACCCAAATGAACAACAAGCAATAGAATAACAGAGAAATTGAAGCTAATGACAATAACAATCAGATTGATATGTCAGTCTAACCTTACACGAGTCAGTCAGATTGTCAGTTATTGGCCAGATTGTCAATCCGAGTACCCACATATGTAAATCTAATTTCTGATTTTGAACCTGAAGATTCCGGAAGGATGATACACCGATTGAGATAATATTTGGCACAACATTGACCAGAAGAAACAAACTGCGAATATGGTGTTTTCTTTTTTCGCTGCTTATTATATTATATCTTATTCGCTGCGGAATTATAACTATTGTGGCAAACTCCTGTTTTCCATTTTTATGGCTTTATTTTCAAGAAATGTGTCCAATAAAAACTGTAGAACTACACCCTCCCTTCATATGGTGCAAGGCATTAGATATAATATTTGAGATAATCTTTCATCCCCATGGATATAATGTTTTACTCATTTCTATTAAATGTCAATAACTTTTTGTCCTATAGTTAATCTCCTAGCGCTCTCTTCAGCCATGTACATTGCCGTTATGCCTTCTGGTCGACTTGTTTCAGAGTAGATTTTTCTATTGTTGCCCACAGAAGACGTCTGTATTCAAAAGG